CTTTGCTTCTTGAAGCCCAGCCTGTGCTAGGAAAACTCCAGGTGTGCTGGTGACAGCAGTGTTGGCAGCTCCAGTGCACACAGGAGCTTGTGTGAATGGGACATCAGTAACATTTTGGCCCTGGATTCATTTTCATCTCAACCTCGCATTAGTCTGTGCTTGTGTGTGTCTGGTAAACTTAGCAGATGTTTTCACCTGAGCTAAAGGAGTGACTCTACTAGCTGGTGACCATATTGGTCTTTTGTGGACTGGCCATTTTTAGAGTATGTTCAACGATTGGAGCCGGCAGGTTATAGGCAGAATGGCAGGAGCAGATGGGAATCCACATGTTGATGGCAAAAGTCACAGTTGCTGACACGGCTCTCAAGATCTGCTCTGAGACAATTGAGCAGTAGCTGGTCATTTTGCTGCTGTTACTGGAAAGACTTCAGCAGTAAAGATGCCAAAGACGTTTCCGTGTTGGGTACCAACATAACTGCGCTGGAGCCCTATAGGAGATCATTCTTTCATGCCAGTGGGCTAGGAATGTCATCAGTGCTGTCAAATGGGAGCTTGACTTTTACAGAAATTCCCCTTGCTCAGCAGGGAAAGGCTTCTGCTCTCTTGTGGCCTTGTAGGACTTTTCCACCCCTGCCTGTACCTGTGCTGTTGGGACTGAGGGTTTGGCACAGGTACTGAGTGTGGGGCTCTCATTGATTCAGATGCTGGTGACCTTTGAGGAGGTGGCTGTGTACTTTTCAGAGGTAGAGTGGACTCTACTGGACCCCAGTCAGAAAGCCCTCTACAGGAATGTCATGCAGGAGAACTATGAGACTGTGACGTCACTAGGTAAGGACTCCCATCCCCCTGGAGCACTCAAAGCTGTGGCATGTCTGAAACATGCCAGTTGGTTCCCATTCCGAATTCCTTCTTGATCCCTTTTTTTGATGAGCCCCAAACTTCCTTGAACCTGTGTGAGAGAGACTGTCTCCAGCACATACCCTTCCAAAGTATAGTGAGCGTTGGCAATGTGTAGGAGGTGCATGTTGGTGCATGTGCACCCCCTGAGATTGGCCGTGCACCCCCTGGAAGTGCCAGCTGTGAAACTGGAAGTGCCAGCGGAAGTGCACTTCCGGTTTTGCCAGTGGCTTGGCAATCGGCCCATGGA